CAAAGCAAAAAATAACTTTGTAATATATCTGCTGAGCTTTCACATAGAAAAAAAGATAATCATCTACATCCAGGACACTGACAAACTGGAACGTGTCCAGAGGAGGGCAACCAAAATGGTCAAAGGCCTGGAAACGATGCCTTATGAGGAACGGCTAAGGGAGCTGGGCATGTTTAGCCTGGAGAAGAGGAGGTTAAGGGGTGATATGATCGCCATGTTCAAATATATAAAAAGATGTCACATAGAGGAGGGAGAAAGGTTGTTTTCTGCTGCTCCAGAGAAGCGGACACGGAGCAATGGATCCAAACTACTAGAAAGAAGATTCCACCTAAACATTAGGAAGAACTTCCTGATAGTAATAGCTGTTCGACAGTGGAATTTGCTGCCAAGGAGTGTGGTGGAGTCTCCTTCTTTGGAGGTCTTTAAGCAGAGGCTTGACAACCGTATGTCAGGAGTGCTCTGATGGTGTTTCCTGCTTGGCAGGGGGTTGGATTCGATGGCCTTTGTGGTCTCTTCCAACTCTATGATTCTATGATTCTATGATTCTATGATTCCTCCTAGCATAGATTACGTCCTAATAAAATTTCAGCAGGGAACCTTCTGCAGCAGAACAAATTTAAGGGATAATGGCTGGAAAGTGTTTAAATTAATTAATGCCGTGAAGCAGAATTCTAAACACGTTTCAAAGCAGAGTCGGCTACGCTCATTCTAAATATTCTTTTCATATGCATAGTAGACTTGCAATGTACATAGCAGCGCAAGTCCTCCTTCCCCCTAAAATAATTCTGCACTTGGAAATTGCATTCCCGTAGAATGTAGTTGGCTCACACTGAGCAGTCCACCTCCGTGGTGACAAGCTCTTCTCTCAAGATAATACATTTGGTTCTTCTCTGCTTCAGTTTAGGCAGAGCTCCTGGAGCATGGCAATGTAGGCAATATGAAGATCAGCCTTCATCAAGCAGGCACTCTCCAGGCATTGCTGGACTACAGCTCCCATAAGGCCCCAGCCAGCATGGCCAACAGTCGAGGATGGTGGGAGCTGGAGTCCTGCAGCATCTGGAAGGCACCAGGATGATAAAGACTGATTAAGAAGGTGCATTTTTTTACGGCTTCTCATGCAGCTCAGGGATGGTGAACCTGCACCTCACAAACACCTTGATGTTTCTGGACTCCTGTCATTTCTGATTATGTTCGCTGGGGCCAATAGGAATTGGAGTCCAATAACATTTGGAGAACCACAGATTTCCCCATCCCTGCTTTAGTTAAACCAGAAAGGGTCAGTAGAGCATATGCCAGGCATAGGCAAACTCGGCCCTCCAGATGTTTGGGGACTACAACTCCCATCATCCCTAGCTAATAGGACCAGTGGTCAGGGATGATAGGAGTTGTAGTTCCAAAACACCTGGAGGGCCAAGTTTGCCTATGCCTGGCATATGCTCTATTGCGCGGGGACTCACTGGTCCTGAATAGGGTAACTGTGCCCCTGAAGGACCAGGTGTGCAGCCTGGCAGTCATTTTAGATTCACTGCTGTCCATGGAGGCACAGGTCAATTCTGTGTCTACCAGATCCATCTGGTATGCTGAGCCCTACCTGCCCACAGACAGTCTCTCCAGAGTGGTGCATGCTCTAGTTAGCTCCCGCTTAGACTACTGCAATGTGCTCTACATGGGGCTACCTTTGAAGGTGACTTGGAAACTACAACTAATCCAGAATGTGGCAGCTAGACTGGTGACTGGGAGTAGCCCCCGGGACCATAAAACACCGGTCCAAAAGAATCTTCACTGGCTCCCAGTACGTTTCTGAGCACAATTCAAAGTGTTGGTGCTGACCTTTAAAGTCCCAAATGACCTCAGCCCAGTATACCTGAAGGAGCATCTCCACCCTCGGGACACTGAGGTCCTTCTCTGAGGGTCTCCTGATAGTTCTCTCACTGCGTGAAGTGAAGTTACAGGGAGCCAGACAGAGGGCCTTCTCAATAGTGGCACCCTCCCTGCAGACCGCCCTCTCATCAGATGTCAAGGAAATAAAGACCTACACAACTTTTAGAAGACATCTGAAGGCAGCCCTGTATCGGGATGCTTTTAATATTTGATGATTTACCATGTTTTTATACGTACTATAAGCTGCCCAGAGTGGCTGGGGAAACCCAGGCAGATGAGCAGGGTATAAATAATAAAATTATTATGATTATTAAAAGGTCACAGATTCAATCCATCCATTTCCTGATAATGCTGGAAAGACTGCTTTCTGAAAGCCAGGAGAGCAACTTTCAGTCAGTACCAACCACCCTGAGCCAGATGAACCACTGGCCTGAATCCATATAAGGTGGTTTCCTATGTTCCAAACCTATCTGAGCCTACTTGGGTTTTTAGATCTTCAGCAGACACTTTTCTCTGTCCTGTCACCCTCACCACACATTTGGTGAGGATATGTGAGAAGGTCTTGTCGATTGTGATTCCCAGATTGTGAAACTCCCTTCCATGGGAGTCCAGGCTGGCCCCCTCTCTGGTTTTCTTTCACCAGCAAGCAATGACTTTTTTGTTCAGAAGGGTCTTCGGCCATTAACTGGCTGTTGTGACAAGATCCTTTAATGGTGGGTGTTGTACATTTTCTTCTCCTCTTGTGCTTTTGGATGCTTTCAACTTGTTTTGATTCAGTGTTGGTTTTAATATGCTACCATTTGTTTTGTGTTTTTAAGATTCCTAGCTGTTCTATGCATGTTCTTAGCTGCATCTGTTTTTTATTCTTGTTGTGAACTGCCTTGGGTCCTGCACCGATTAAAATATAGGATATAAAATAAAGTAAACTAAAACAAATCGTTGTTGGCTAGTGCTGTGCTGAAACCTGTCCCCCCAATTTCTAAAAGTTATCTTCACCTGTGAAAGAGCCTTTTGTTTTTCTACCTCACTTGCAGGTTGGGTGGAGTATTGGGCTTGCTTTATTCCTGTGAGGTCGATGTAGGTAGTGTGGGTGTTTTTTCATCTCATAAAACATTTCTTCAGGGTTCTGCAGCCTACAGAGTTGCCTGTGCTTCCTGTTCTGGGGAGGAAAATAACTCAAGGGAGGAGTTCTCATGATGTATTCCCCTGGGTTTTGATTGAAGCATGGGAAGTAGGGAGGGTGGCTGCTGAGCCCCTAAGATTGGTTCACTCACTGGTTTTGTTTTTAAGGGAAGTGCTTCCTTTATTTATTTCTGTGCTGGTTTCTATAAAAGCAAACTGACTAAACAACAACAACAACAATGCACAGCTGTCAGGCACATGGTAGGCAGGGTGCTTGAACTTATGAAAAGCCTAGGCTAGGACAACATAGAGTTTTCTGGTAGCATGGCCATCTGAGGAAAGGTCATAGCCCAGTCAGTGGCAGACAATCTGCTTCTCATGCAAAAGGTCCCAGGTTCAATTCCTGTCTGAACTCTGAAGAACTGCTGTCAGTCAGTGTCAACAATTCTGAGCCAGATGGACCAACAGCCTGGCTTCATATAAGGCAGCTTCCTCTGTCCCAAGTGTGCAGAACTTGTGGATTTGTAGAATGAAAGGACACTCACAAGCATCCTTTGGCCATGCCAGAGGTAAGGTAAGTCCTGAATTCCACTCATGAGACTTTTGCAGAAATTTGTGGTAGAATGGCTGAAAAATTCAGGATAATTTGTCAGCATAGCATTATTGTCGAGAGCTTTAATGTGACCCGATAGATTTGTTTTAGAGGCTTACATAAAGATCTTCTGAATCAATCATCTCCTAGTGGTGGTGACCAAGTTCTGATGCTGAACAAAAATACCCAAAACCTTCCCCAAATGTCCAGGATTCAGTAAAGGACAGGGACAGATCTGCCCTATAGATGTGATTCATTGGCTGCAATCCAGCAGTTACGCAGCTTATGCCAATTCATTTTAATGAGCTGAATGGCACTCATAGCCTTTAAATAAATACTCTAATGTAAATAAATACTCCAAGGTAGGTGTTTGGCACAGTACTTGATATATCTACCAGTCTTAGATATCATTACTGCCTTCCTTAAGATCCAGCTGGTGGCGGAGATCAATGCAGGGGCAGAGGGCGGGGGCGGGGGCGGGGTCCCACCCATGGGCAGGACCCCACCAGCTAATCAGTGCTGGAGGGAGGCATAGCCAAAGGAGATTTAAACCACAGCACAGCTGGGGGCTGTCCTCTCGCGCCCAAAGCTCAGTCACTTTGTTTCAATCAGCTTTCTTCTATTGCTGTTGCAATAAACCAAACTATATGGTTCTTGGATCTCTCCCATACAACAACAACAACAACAACAGGAATCAAACTTCTGGCCAATGGCATCCTGGAGCTCATCTAATCAAAGCCCACAAACCTATTTTCCTTCCTAACTTAGTGAACGCTAGAGATTTTTAAAATGTGTTGCTTATTGTTAACTCCACACTGAAAAAGTCTCCGCTTGTACCACAGAATGGGAGCCATACTGAGAACCAGAGATGTTTCAGCCACATCTCACAGAGGGGATATAATGAGAGACTCACAGCAGCGCTAAGTGCAATGCAGCTGATGGCTATAGATGGAAACCACCATGTATAATTCATAACTGTAGTCCATGATTAGATGAATTTCACAATCTTGTTGGCCAGATTCCTCCTTTGCTGTATGCAAGAGATCCAGGAATCTTAGTTAGGTGTATCACAAGAGCAATATGGGGAAGCCCATCAAAATTTGTGTGCATAATTTCAAGCCATGCATCAGGGAGGTACAGTTTTAGACAGCACACGAGGGCTCTCTGAAGTGAAAATTACTCCATTAAAAATAATAATCCTCTCACTTAGAAAACCAGAATGTCTTGGAGAAGGCTAAGCTAGAACTCTTCCCTGACACCAAGTATTTTACGTGCAAAGTTGTTGTTGTTGTTTTTAATAGAGAAGCATTATGAGTGCAGCTTAGACCCAGGCTTACTTCCACCATGAGAACTAAAAGACACAGGATCATATAACTGGAAGGGGCTGCAAGGGTCATGTAGTCTAACCCTCTGCAATGCATGGGGCTTGAACCCATGACCTTGAAATTAAGAGTCTCATGCTCTACCAATCCTTTGCCTAGTGGGATGTGATCCTAAACCCATTTACTTGTGGCTTACTCCAGCTAGATGGCTTATAGGGCATGACCTTAAGCACAAGACTTCATTCTTAAGAATACTGATTCATGAAATAAGATTCAAATGAAATAAATAGGACTGGGTTTCCATTGGAGTGGGCTGCACAGATTCAATCCTAAGCAAATCAAATGGCTCTTCGATTGTTACGCCTACACACTCAAAGTACGTAGATGTGCTTGTCCATGAGGAGGTGCGACTGCTCATTAAAACACACCTCCATGCCCATGTATTCAGCAGACCACCAAAAAGGGCAACCTATGTGCCTATAAGCAGAGCCTATCCACCTGATGTAAAGTTCCTGACGGTGGGGAGAGCCTACACACAGGCTCTCCTTTCCTATAGTCCAGGCATGTTCAACTCCCAAGAGACTGTGATCTACTCCCACTAAAAAAAAAAGTGGCAGTGATCTACCTACCCTCTTCTGGATTGAGCTTCAGGGGTCTTATTCTAAATATTAGCTTCCAATTTGATCTCCAAAGTAATTTTAGCCACTAAAATTTTATTTAAAAATAAAGGACAATAGTCAGCTAAGTTTTACTCAGAGTAGACCCACTGAAATTAATAGACTTAGTCAAATGCTGTCATTTCAATGGGTCTACTCCGAGTAAACTTTAGGTGACTACCATCCAAAGACATGCACGTTTAGAATGTCCCAGCCATGGAGGAAGATTTCTTGAGGGGCATAAAAAAGGGACTTTCTCTGTGGCCACACTTAAACTCTGGAAGTATTTGCCCTGTGAGGCTCAGTTGGCACCTTCTCTCATGCCATAGGGCAAAAACCATCTCCTTTGGTCGGCTTTAGGTTTATCTGATCCACAATTTGTATTATATGCTGCACCAGTCTCTGTTTCCACTATATTGTAGCTCTGAAATATTTTGCATTGTATAGTTGGTTTTAGGGTGCAACGTTGCAGTCCCCAAGAGTACATCCCAGGGGCCAGAGGTTATTGTGGAGAGAAAGGTCCACCTGTGAAGATGGAGGTCCACAGGTGGAAGCCCTCCAGGGACAAACCATCCATACGAATGCAGAGATACAGAGAGCGCTCAGGGCCTTAAGGGTTCTCACTGAACAGTCTTATAATATGTACTCAGATGTAAGTTTCACTGTTGTTCAGTGGAACTCACTCCCAGGTAAGTAGATACAGGCTTGCAGCCTCCATCATCCAACACTAACTAGATACAATTAGAGATTATAAAAATGTTGCATTAAACTAGCAGGAGTGAGAGACGGTACATCATTCCAGTATTAGACGGATGACTCAAAACTGCAATCCTAAAGGAGTTATTCCCATTGAATGCAACAGTATTTGCTTCTGAAAAGGCATGTTAAACACCTGAGTTTTATGCAATACCTGAGTTTTATGCAACAAAATGTGACCAGCTGGGGGAGGGACGCCCAACTCCAAATCAGTGTGAGCCTGTGATTAGGGAGGTATTGAGTCCGCAAGATTTTTCTTTCTTCGATTTTTCCAAACAAACCCCTTGGGCAACTAACATCTCCCCACCACACCACCACCACCAAACTGTAGCCATGTAAGACCACTCAGACAAACTGGGAGGGAAGCTCCTTAGCAGACGACATCCATTTTCATTGCAGGAAGAACTTAACAGCAATGTTTGCTGAAATGAGGTGATGCTGTGGTTTTATTAACAGAGAGTTATCTTTAAGTAATGGTCCTTCTGTTTAAAATGAGGACATTGCACTTTAAATGACGGGGATCAGTAGCCCAAGACGATTGCGATATTCTTTGAACCATCTTTCTCTTTCTGTGCAGAAATTCAAGCATATAATAACTAGTCTAAAACCGATGGCCAAGACTGAAAAGGTGTTCACGGAGAGGGGCTGTAATGCTTTAATTGCAGCGTTTTCCCGAAGGCGGCAAAGCTTTTGCTAGGTAAGCAGAGAGGGGATTTATTATCCCCGCTGTACGGCTATTGCACAAGAGAGAGCTGTCGCAGCAGGATTTCACCTTTCCTAAAATGCTACTTCCACATCCCAGCACGCATTTAAAGCGCAGCCTCCATCATGACTTGTGCGATCGCCCCTGCAAACAAACAAACAAACCAAAAACGTGCACAGGCATAAACCTCTAGTCCTTCGATCTCTTGTTACCTGGAAGGGCAGCAGCTGAGCGTTTGCAATGCTGTGTTGTTTTGAACTACCGTATTTCTTATTAACAGAGCTCAGGACAGCGGGGACCGTATGATTGCAAGATGTAGAATTGTCTGGCCCGGTTCCCCGCTGCTTCGCATTTCTAGGTATTTCGGCTTGTCGCTGACCCTGGTGCTGAAACCCGAAAACATGCACTGTACACAGACGGACAGAGGCGCCCACACCAGACAACACCGACAGAAAACAGCCCCACCCGCTCTCCCCAAACTGCTCCTGTCTGGGCAGAAAACAGACACTTTTCCCGAACAAAAGAGGGATCTTCAGCTTTCGAGAGAAGCAGCTCCGGGCTGCTGGGGGAGAGCTCGAGGCGAATCTAGCCCAGATTACGGCGGGGCTAAGACACGTCGCCGGAGCTGCAAACCAGATGGTCTGCCTCTGCTAAAGCGAACAAGCTATTGCTCCAAATTCACCCTTTGGAACGCGCAAAAGCAAATGACCCACAAAAACGCGCAGATGAACAGCGGGGAGGATCCAACGCCTCTTTGCTCGTTTTTCAGCCCCAAAACCCTTCCTGGGACGCCAATAAAGGATGGTGGCCCCGCACCCAAGGAGGGGGACCACCCAACAGGTGGTTTAATGGCCCCGATTCTCCCTCTCTCGCTCTCAAGGTGCCCGGGCGCTCAGAGAGACCCCTTCCAACCCTCCTAGCCCAAGCCTCGGCTGCTCTGCACGCCATCCTAGCACGGCCAGATTGGGTCCTCTTGCGTGTTTACCTGCAGCCTGGAGCTGGAGCAAGAGGCACGCCACGGGCAGGCAGGCTGCTGTGGTCCACATGGTGCGCGCCTGCGGCTGGGAGAGCGCCGATCTCCGCCTCGCTCGCTCTGGCCGCGCTCGGGGTTTTGCTTCCCATCAGGTTTTCCTCCTTCCTGGTTAATGAGCACGCTGGGGGAAACGGCGCGTGCGCAGCTGCGGCGAGCCTAGAGACGGCCCTCTTCGGCCGCCCGAGCCGGCTGCCAGCGGAAGGGGCTGCCCGGAGGGGCGCTTGGATGATGGCAGGCAGGCAGGCATCCAAGTGGATAGGCTCGGGGAGCTGGGAGGAGAGGGGGCATCCCTGGGTCTGGAAAGGCAGTTGAGGACAGGGAGGAAGGAGCAATGGAAGAGCCTAGAGAACAGCTCTCTCAGTCAGCTGCCACAGCTGAAGGGACCACGAGGGTCATCCAGCCCAACCCCCTGCAATGTGGAGGGATCTTATGGAACTCAAAGCCACGACCTTGAGATTTAGAGCCTCATGCTTACCCACTGAGCTATTCCACCACCCCTTATTTTCACCCATCCAGCCACCTTACATACTGTGATACACAGACAGTTGGGTTAACTCTCTGCAGTTGCCCATGCAGTGACACCATGTTTTCCCACTCTGCCTCCGACTCCATAAAAACTGTTTCAGCCAGCTGAGCCAGCCCCACCATGAGGCAAAGTGAGAGGGCCATGTTGCAGCCACCTCAGACAGTTGAATTTGAGTGCCATGAAAGTTCAGCATATTACTACTTTACATGTAATATTATATAAAGGGGGAGAGAGGCACGTGTGGGATTTTTCTGCTTCAGTCTGTCGGTCAGGTGCATTTGTTAGAAACCACTGGCTGCTGCAGAAATGAAGTACAGTGGTACCTCGGGTTACATACGCTTCAGGTTACATATGCTTCAGGTTACAGACTCCAGACCCAGAAATAGTACCTTGGGTTAAGAACTTTGCTTCAGGATTAGAACAGAAATTGTGCTCCGGTGGTGCGGCAGCAGCAAGAGGCCCCATTAGCTAAAGTGGTGCTTCAGGTTAAAAACAGTTTCAGGTTAAGAACGGACCTCCGGAACGAATTAAGTACTTAACCCGAGGTACCACTGTACAGTACATTTTAGCAGAGGTGGTCATCAGCACATGGCTCCCCATGTGGTAAAATTATATTTTGTCTGAGCTGTTGGGCTGCTAAGGCAAACATAGCAAATGTGTCATGCATTTATTCCCATCCATGAACAAATAACAGATTTCCCCATATAATTCAAAAAGGAAATGCTGGAGAATTTCTGACTGAATTTGACTGAGTGTGCCAACATCAGAAGTAGTGGTTAAAGTGTTGTACTAGGAGCTGGGAGATCGGGGTTCATAGCCATGTTAAGTCTGGAAGCTCACTGGGTGACATTTTGGGCCAGTTGTTATATCTCAGCCTAACCTACGTCACAAGGTTTTTGTGAAGATAAAATTTGGGGATTGAGGACCATGTAGGCCATCAGGAGATCCTGGGAGGAAAAGTGGCATATAAATGGAGCATCACCAGCATCATTTTCACCTTGACTAGGAGGGAGGGAATGTGTGCTAATTGCACAGTCAACCCATATCAAATGTGTTTTAAGAGTCACATGTGAGTGCACACACACACACAAAGTTGTTAGAGACATGCATAATAGCACATGCTCACTGATGGCAGGGAAGGGCTACTGCAAGACTTGCCACAGGTCCATCAGGTCCAGCACCTTTCTAGTTGCGCCCAACTGAAACTGGGTTTTGCATCTCACCTGTGTTGCCATCTCTTGTGCCAATTCCCATGCCTTCCCCAGTCAATAAACAACAACAACCTTAACTTGGGGAAAGGAGAGGCAATTACAGACAGCAGAGTCAGTCTTCACTTTCAGAAAGCCCCATAATTCCTTTCCTCATCCATAAATGACATGCAGAGCATCATTTCCAAGATTCCAAGACTACTGAGAAAGAAATTGCTTGTTGCTTCAAAGAGAGAGAGAGAGAGAGAGAGAGAAGAGAAGAACTTCGTTCCTCTTCTTCTTCTTCTTCTTCTTCAAAAAAAAAAGAAATCAGAGCAGCTGACAACATAAAATAAAATCCAATTTGCAACAATAAAATCATGCCTTCAAAGGATAAAAACAAAAACGACAACATTTATTTATTTATTTATTTGACACATTTCTAGTCTGCACTTTTAACACACGGTGTTAAATCCAGGTAAAATACAAAGCTAAAAAATCTTTTTCATGAAAACAATAGAGCACCAGATGGGGGGACGACGACAACAACAACAATTTTAATTCAAAACCAGAAAAGGATACAAACAACAACTGACCTAAAAATGTTTAATGTCAGGGGTAGCTGGGTCAGGAAGTAAGGAACCCCACAGGGTTGGCATCCCGATTGAAAAAGTCCTGCTCCGTATTTTGTCCACAAGATAGCAGGCACCTATAAGGAAATGTGCAACATTTACAGCCAAGAAAAGGCCTTGCGCGACTTTGTTTGGAAGGGAGTAGTCTGCTGATATCTCCTCCTCATATCCCAAAGTAGAACGTTGTTGGTTATTGTTTATTATTTAGAGACCTTCAAAGTCCTCAGATCAAGCACACTGCTCAGTATATGAATCTTGTGACTACAGAGCCTTTGAGATATGTCTATCCACTTTTTGCTTAAATACCTCCGGTGGAGAAGTTCCTTATAATGCTGGGCCCCAAACCTTGCCATTTCCACCCATTTGTTCTAGTTTTGCCCTCTAAAGCAAGTCTAAAGAGAGCAGGTCTGCTTAATCTTCTATGTGACAGCACTTCAGACCCTTAAAGAGATGCCTCATGCCTCCCCTTAATTTCTCTCCTCCAAGATAAACATACCCAGGACTTCTCAACCATTCTTCGTGAGACTTGGGCCTCATCTGCACTATACATTTAAAGTGGTATCATACCACTTTAAACCATCGTGGCTTCCTGCAAAGAATCTTGGGAAGTGTGGTTGTTAATGGCGCTGAGAGATGTTAGAATACCCCTGTTCCCCTCACAGAGCTACAGTTTCCAGAGGGGTTAACAATCATTCCCTCTTCCCAAGGATGGGGAACCTGTGACCTTCTATATGTTGTCGGAATTCATTAGTATGGCTGGTAGTCAGGGCTGATGAGAGCCCAACAACAATAGGGGGAGCTACAAGTTGCTTGTCCCATATTTACTCTACCTGGCAACACCCTCCAAGGTCTCAGGGAGAAGTTTTTTCTCACTGAACGACATCTGATGCTTTTTACTAGCCTTGGGTCTTCTGCATTCAAGACATGAGGTATGGCCCCTCACCTATTTAAGATATTAGTAACTGAGAAGGATAATTACCCTTTTAAATGTTAAATATCTGATAAGAGCAGCATCTTAAAGAGCAGGTTTTATTAATGCTAGTCAATGCACCATATTTTTAAAAAAGAATATTTTCCTCAATTATGTTCAACTCCTCTTCCTCCACTCCATAATTTGAAACCTATTCGCTTACTGCAGTGGTTTTTTTTAAAAAAAAACTTATGTCAAGATAAGCAGAAGCAGACGAGATAATTTCAAACTGGATTTGCAAGCTGTTGTCTGAGAAACACTTTGCAATGGTCTGTGGGAACCTGCCTGGTTAAATTCGTGCCCACTCAGTTCCTTGTTCGCCTCAGTTAAGCAACGTTCAAAGCTATGTGACATACATTCTTTATGACTTTTTCGTATGTTCAACCACAAAGTTAACATTTGGTTGCCCATGGGAAAGAGAGTGGGCCACATACCAAAGGGCTGTCTAAATTCTCGTAAAATGCGCTTAATGTATGCATCTACATAATAAAGGACACCTGACATATGGTTTACAAATAAAGGATAGAAGTGCTAAATCTCTCCAGGAAACCACACCACAGACTTAAAACTGGTTTAACAATTCTTTCCCTATAGCAAAGCTAGGGCTAGAGATCTCAGCATATTACAGTTCCCAGAATGCTTTGTCAAGAAGCCATGGCGGTCAGAACTGTCTTAGCTCTGATGGTTGTGCCCATACAATTGTATGTCCCCGGACGGGCAGAATCCGAGACCAGGGAGAAGAGTCGGTGGAAGAAGAGTGGAAGAAATTTAAAGATTATCTACAGAAATATTGTAAAATTAATGAATGTTAGAATGATGTTAGATAGAAATTAAGTGGTTTCCAGCTGTAATGCTTTAAGGGAATATAAAAAAGGGTTATAAAGAGGTAAAAATCTAATGCTATTATTTTTAAGATCAAGGATTAGGATAATTAAAGAGGGTAAGGATTTGCTGAACCAACAGATTGAAGTGGAATACAAAAAAGGGAGGTATGAGGAGGACCGGGAAACAAGCTAAAGGAAAATAAGTAATGGAAAATCTGGGTGTTTTTAACCATTTTTATTTTTTATTTTTTTTATTTTTTTTATTTTTATTGTAATATTTTAAAAAATCTTAATAAATATCTTATTAAAAAAACAACAACAATTGTATGTCCCCAAAGTAAGGAAGTCACAAGTGATTCAATTTATTAGACTTGTATATTGCTTTATACAAAAAAAGTCTCAACACTAGAAGAAGAAGAGTTTGGATTTGATATCCCGCTTTATCACTACCCAAAGGAGTCTCAAAGCAGCTAACATTCTCCTTTCCCTTTCTCCCCCACAACAAACACTCTGTGAGGTGTGTGGGGCTGAGAGACTTCAGAGAAGTGTGACTGGCCCAAGGTCACCCAGCAGCTGCATGAGGAGGAGCGGAGATGCGAACCCGGTTCCCCAGGTTACGAGTCTACCTCTCTTAACCACTACACCACACTGGCTCTATAGAATACAATGGGGAAAATATTAAATGGCACAATGGTGGTACAATAACAATTGTGGAAAATGCACGCAACATAGTGACCTGGCTGACCTGTCATACTGAGCCAAATCATGTTCCTGCAGAGGAGCTCACAGCTGCTTTGCCCCCTTCCTCCCTCCTTTTTGCTACCACACTAAGCTAAGCCAAAGTTAGGCTCAACATGTCATCTGACCCTTGGCTCATGGTTAAGCTCTCTCCAGATGTGCATTGAGCTGTCACCAAGGCCTGCTCTTGATTTACCATGTGTGGTTAGTCTGGGAGAGACTTAGATCACGAGCTCAGATTTGGACAACATGCTAAACCAATCCTTGACTCGACTCAGTGTGGTGCAACAGTACAAAGGACCTGGGAGCAGCAAGGCTTCTTTCCAAGAGATGCCCACTCATATGTTCACGCTAAACCATGGTTTGGCTTTGTGTGCCATGTGAACCAAGCCACTATTACAATAATTTTTTTTTAAAAAAATGATATTTATTAAAGTTTCCAATAAAAAAAAGACACATCAATAAAAAAGAGTTAAAAGTAGAAAAAAAAATACACAGTACAAAAATACACAATACACAATACAAAAAACAAAAATCAAAAAACAAAAAAAGGAAAACAGTTAAAAACAATACCACCTTTTCATCACCACATTTAAACTTACTTATTTTCTGGACCTC